GGTGTCCGGTCCGGTGTCCGGTCAGTCCCGGTCCGGCCCGCAGCGCTCCGAGCCGTGACTGACCCGGTTCCCGGTGTCCGGTCCGGTGTCCGGTCCGGTGTCCGGTGTCCGGTCAGTCCCGGTCCGGCCCGCAGCGCTCCGAGCCGTGACTGACCCGGTGCCCGGTTCCGGTGTCCGGTCCGGTGTCCGGTCCGGCTCAGCCCCGGCTCGGTGCCCGGTTCCAGCTCAGCCCCGGTGTCCGGTGTCCGGTCAGTCCCGGTCCGGCCCGCAGCGCTCCGAGCCGTGGCTCACCCGGTGCGCGTCGTCGGCCAGTTTGGCCAGCACGGTGGCGAACTCTTCGAAGGTCAGCTCCTTGTCCCGGTTCAGGTCCGTCTCCTCGAAAAGGCGCTTCAGGTACCCGGGTTGGTTCCGGTCCTAAAACCGGGGAGGGGGCAGCGGTCACTCCATGGCCGGAGGGGACACGGGGACACCCAGAGGGGACACGGAGCTCACTCAGAGTGGACACGGAACCCTCCAGAGTGGACACGGAGCTTACTCGGAGTGGACACGGAGCGCCCCAAAGTGGACAGAGAGTGCCCCCAAGTGGACAGAGAGTGTCCCCGAGTGGACAGAGAGTGTCCCCGAGTGGACACGGAGCTCACCCAAACCCCAAAATGGACACGGAGCCCTCCGAGAGATGCCCAGAGTGGACACGGAGCTCACCCGAAAGTGGACAGAGAGCGCCCCCGAGTGGGCACAGAGCTCACCCCAAAGTGGACACGGAGCCCTCAAGAGTGGACACAGAGCGCCCCCGAGTGGACACGGAGCTCACCCCAAAGTGGACACGGAGCGCCCCAAAGTGGACAGAGAGCGCCCCCGAGTGGACACGGTGCTCACTCAGAGTGGACAGAGAGCGCCCCCGAGTGGACACGGAGCTCCTCCAAAGGTGGACAGAGAGACCCCCAGCGTGGACACAGAGCTCACCCCAGAGTGGACACATAGCCCCCAGAGTGGACACGGAGCCACCCCCAAAGTGGACACGGAGCTCATTCAGCGTGGACACGGAGCGCCCCAAAGTGGACAGAGAGCGCCCCCGAGTGGACACGGAGCTCACTCAGCGTGGACACGGAGCTCTCCCCAAAGTGGACACGGAGCTCACCCAAACGCCAGAGTGGACACGGAGCCCTGGACATGGAGCTCACTCGGAGTGGACACGGAGCGCCCCAAAGTGGACAGAGAGTGCCCCCGAGTGGACACAGTGCTCACTCAGAGTGGACACGGAGCTCATCCAAACCCCAAAGTGGACACGGAGCCAGCCCCGGAGTGGACACGGAACCCTGGACACGGAGCTCCCCCCAGAGTGGACAGAGAGCGCCCCCGAGTGGACACAGAGCTCACCACAGAGTGGACACAGAGAACCCCAAAGTGGACACGGAGCGCCCCCGAGTGGACACAGAGCTCACCAGAGAGTGGACACAGAGAACCCCAGAGTGGACACAGAGCGCCCCCGAGTGGACACGGACCCTTCCCCACCCTGGACAGCCCCAGGACACCCCTCCCCTCCCCTCCTCCTTTCCCCCTCCTTTAACCCCAAATCAAACCCCAGAGGAGCCGGGATTTTATCCCAAACCCCAACAGGAAGATCCCAAAAACCTCTCCAAACCCCCCTTTTTCCCCCTTTTTGCCCTCCCCTGGCCCCCAGACTCACACAGACGCTCAGGAAGGACGGCGCCTGTTCCCTCAGCAGCGTTTCGAACTCGGCGAGGCTGAGCCGGTCCAGGTGGTCCCGGCGAGCGCTGTGCTGGTGGAACAGATCCACCACGGTGCGGAGAGCGCGCTCCAGGCTGCAGCGGGCGGGCAGAGAACCGGTGCTGGACATGGCTGTGGGGACAATGGGGACAGCAGGGTCACCCTGGGGACACAGCAGAGTCATCCTGGGGTCACACCGGCCCGGGGGAGGTGACACAGGGGACACGGTGCTGCTGGACATGGCTGTGGGGACAGGAACAGATCCACCACGGTGCGGAGAGCGCGCTCCAGGCTGCAGCGGGCGGGCAGAGAGCTGGTGCTGGACATGGCTATGGGGACAATGGGGACAGCAGGGTCACCCTGGGGACACACCAGCCCGGGGGAGGGGACACAGGGGACACGGTGCTGCTGGACATGGCTGTGGGGACAATGGGGACACAGTGGGGTCACCCTCGGGACACAGCAGAGTCACCCTGGGGACACAGCGGGGTCACCCTGGGGTCACACTGGCCCGGGGGAGGGGACACAGGGGACAGGGTGCTGGACATGGCTATGGGGACAATGGGGACAGCAGGGTCACCCTGGGGTCACACCAGCCCGGGGGAGGGGACACGGTGCTGCTGGACATGGCTGGGGACAGTGGGGACACAGTGGGGTCACCCTGGGGACACAGCAGAGTCACCCTCGGGACACAGCAGAGTCACCCTGGGGTCACACCGGCCCGGGGGAGGGGACACGGTGCTGCTGGACATGGCTGGGGACAGTGGGGACAGTGGGGTCACCCTGGGGACACAGCGGGGTCACACCGGCCTGGGGGAGGGGACACAGGGGACACGGTGCTGCTGGACATGGCTATGGGGACAATGGGGACAGCAGGGTCACCCTGGGGTCACACCAGCCCGGGGGAGGGGACACAGGGGACAGGGTGCTGGACATGGCTATGGGGACAATGGGGACAGCAGGGCCACCCTGAGATCACCCTGGGGTCACACTGTGGTCATACCAGCCTGGGGGAGGGGACAGGGTGCTGCTGGACATGGCTGTGGGGACAGTGGGGACAGCAGGGTCACCCTGGGGACACACCGGGGTCACACTGGTATCACACTGGGATCACACCAGGATCAAACTGGGATCACACCGGGATCACCTTGTGGTCACACCGGGATCAAACTGGGATAAAACCAAGATAAAATTGGGATCACACCAGGATAAAACCGGAATAAAACTGGGATCACACTGGTATAAAACTGGGACCAAACTGGGATCAAACTGGGAGCACAATGGGATAAAACCGGGGTCAAACGGGGATCAAATTGGGATCAAACCGGGATAAAACTGGGATCAAACTGGGATCTGAATGGGATCGCACTGGGATCAAACTGGGATCAAACTGGAATAAAACCAGGATCAACCCGGGATCACAATGGGATCAACCCGGGATCAAATTCGGATCAAACTGGGATCAAACCGGGATAAAACCGGGATCACAATGGGATCAAACTGGGATCAAACCAGGATCAAACTGGGATCACACCGGAATAAAACCGAGATCTGAATGGGATCAGACTGGGATCAAACCAGGATCAAACCGGGATCGAACTGGGATAAAACTGGGATCAAACCAGGATCAAACTGGGATCTGAGTGGGATCAAACTGGGATCGCACTGGGATAAAACCAGGATCAAACTGGGATAAAACCAAGATCAAACTGGGATCAAATCGGGATCACACTGGGATAAAACTGGGATCAAATTGGGATCTGAATGAGATCAAACCGGGATCAAACTGGGATCAATCCGGATCAAACTGGGATCAAACCGGGATAAAACCGGGATAAAACTGGGATCAAACTGGGATCAAACCGGGATAAAACCAAGATAAAATTGGGATCACACCAGGATCAAACTGGGATAAAACTGGAATAAAACCAGGATCAACCCAGGATCAAATTGGGATCAAACTAGGATAAAACCAGGATAAAACCAGAATCGAACTGGGATTAAACTGGGATCAAACCAGGATCAAACTGGGATAAAACCGGGATCAAAC